AAATGATCAGGATAAGAAACTATTATGGGCGATTTACTATTAATAATAATTATTTTTGGCGAGTTTTAAGAAATATGCACCAGACCGTGTGTACACGACGTTTGGAGCCGAATCGTATTTGTCGTAGGAGTGTCATCGGAGTGCTCGGGAGGTCCCCAATGACGTCCCCGGGAACCCGGACGACATCGGCAGATTTGCACTCAGCGTGTGAGAAAATCCCCGAACACGATATTTCAGTCGTTCTGGTCGTTCCGAGGTTGACGGTCGGTCGGTCGGTCGGCGAAACCGTATCTTATTTTGACAGCCCCCTGTGGCCCAGTAGGTCGTTTAGAAAGTACCAACACACGGCAAGTACACTCTACCCCCCTCCCCCTCCCCCCACACACAGACACCTTGCGGGCTGAATCCACTTCCGATGACATGATGACAGCAACGGAATTGCAGGCCAGGCACGAGCGATGAATAAACTTCAATAAATTGACCGACTTGACTGCACGCTAGAGTGACACGAGTGACACACACCGGCCGGAGATTCGAAGCAGACTGACGCGTTGCCGGCCAGCTGGCTCGGTCGCAGTCTTGGTCGGGCGGGTGGGCAAGGGGAGGAGGGGTCTCGGCTGCTGTTAGCGGAAGCGGAGGGAGTTGTGGCGACGTGCAGTGGTGTGCGCAGTGGTGGAGTGGTTGCCTGCATGCAAGGCGCACCCGTGACACCTCTTTTCCGGGGACTAACTTTATTCGACTAAAACTAGTCGCAACTAAAGTAACTGGTCGATCACTAGCACAACACGACAAAAATAATTTGTCAGTGGGGGAACACGATATGCCACCTCGCTGCAGCGGACAAACCTATCTTCACTGCCTCTGACGCCCGAGGGCCAAGGGAAAAAAGGGGGGGGGGCAATCCAATCTATGTCAAAATAAAATTTTTAAACAGTCCCCAAGACTGTCTCTACCACAGTGCAAAGTCCACCCCCTCACTGTATAGCACAGAGCGGCCCCCCGTTTTTCAGGCCGCAAAATTTCGAGTGGAGTTTCAAACCCGTAATTTTATCATCCTGATTCAAACTGTGTTGTCAAGTGACGAGACTAGGATCTGGAACTGGGGTTCGACCGTGGTATTACTGTCACTACTTGCACTTGTATGTACTTTTCTCAGTGTACCGGGGAAGGGGATGGGGAAGTGTTGTAGCAAGCAAGCGGGGCCTTCAAATATTCGCGCGAGGCGCCCAGATCGGCGGCGACGGCCGGAGAATAATTGTCGGCGCCAAGCGGACTTAAGTCGCCTCGGATGAAGCTACAGCTGAGCAGCTACAAACAGGGACGTCAGTTAGCTATAGCGATAAGAGATCGTCCTCAAAGTAGTCCGTTTTTTCTCAAATTCATTTGGCAAATTCAACATTACTCCTCGGCGCCTGTGAGACTTGGGATAGGCCATCCCTCTCTCCACGCATGTACTGCAGGCGAGATGCTGCCTACCTACCAGGCGCTATGAGAGCGTGTATAGGCTAATGTTGGCAGTTTCGGAACGGCGAATGACAGACGTGATTTCTGGATGCCCCCTAACTTTGTAGCTACAAAAAGTTACTGTTTACATAGCAAACATCTATTTTCCAAACGTGACAAAACCAATGTGAAAAGAATTTGATGTCCACATGCTTATTACATCACATTGTTCTTTATTCTACTGTATATACAGAATAAACAATAATAAAATCAGTATACAACATCGGTAAAGACCGTTTCCTAATTCTAACAGCATGTCACAGTCATTTTCATCATTTCTTTTAGAGAAACACTGAAGGATAGGCACATTGACAGATGTACCACCAAATTGGCCATAACAAGAGCCAATGGCTTTCTACGTTGAGCATAAAAAAATAAGTCAGCAGAACAAAACCAAGGTGAATTTATTAGCTCTCCTAGTAGTGCCGAAGACTAGACATTTATTTCACTTATATCACATTTTATGGCACAATCAAAAAAGATTTTCTTTGGTATGGAGGACATAGTGAAAGACTCTCAAAAGTAATCAAGGAATTTAAATTCAAAGCTAACTTTGGCTACCAAAAACTGAGAGTTCAAAAATATAAACGTACCATGTAGTTTCCCACGTGCTTGAACAATATCAAAGAAGTGCCCTCAAATTAGTTCTTTACTTTTAATTATTAGTGAGACAGAAACCTGAAATCATGTTTTAACAAATAACAATTTCAAGGGCCGTATACAATTAAGTTACAAATCCGATAGCACACAGCATGTAAAGTTCTTATTGTAGGTTCATTGAATTTGTGCCTACTTTAGCGAGGTTTTTTCATCTGTACACTTATCGAGAAAGCTTCTTCCTCCCCTACCAATAGAAATTCGTCAACACACGTTACAATGGCGTATTTGTGATGAAAAATTGATGTATCGTGGACCAAAAACATGTTGGAGTGAATTTTCAGCATACAGCATGCATTTTGAGACAAACCTCTGTTGGTAGGGTCGACCTGGAAAATTATGATGTAGATTTGACCAGAAATGTTTGGTTTGGTTCAGGAACATACTACACACCGGTCTAAATGCAACCAGCACAAGCTAAAGAATGGGGGGGGTAGCCAGTCCATGGGTGAACTGTAAAAAGGATCACTGTAAATTAACGACATATTCGAGGTAAAGTTTTTCAGAGACTTTGTTGTACTTGTACAACATAACAGTTTGTACGTGACAGTAAAGTTCATAAAATAATAAATATTTTTGTCCTGTAACTAGTAAAACGTTGTTCTTCAACAGGGTTGATATTCGGTAAACTTTAATGTCACGTCACAAAAATGTACCATTATAAACAAAACTGTTTGTCAACAAAAATGTCACAAAAGATGAGTGTTCCAACGACTAGTTTTTATATTCCACACTGCCACTTGACTCGACTAACGTCGACACGGCCCATACCAAAGGCGCATGCATTCCATTCCAAAACACTAATAAGCTGACATGCTGAGCCAAATTTCACAAGGAAACCGGAAACATCACAATAACAACGACGCCCACTTCAACATAACCAATCAACAGAATCAACAACAGGCCTTCGGGTTTGCCGAAGAAAACAAAATCTCTGGCGAATAATTTGAAATGGAGCTATCTAACGTGAGGATAAGGTGGCGTAAAATATTATAAATACTTTTCTTTGTACAAATCCGCACGCAAGCACGGGGCTAGCCTATCGCACTCCCCAAGTCCAGTGCGTCCGAATGTCTCCAGCAGGTAGCAGGTGCTCGGCCCACGGGCAGCCTAGCGGAGGGGTCCGCGACCTGGCGTACTCCGATAGGAGCTTCGACAGCCTGCCAGCGACCACTGCGCCAGCCTGCGCCAGCCCGACCTCAGCTCTCAGCAGCTCTGCTGCGGCGGTCCGGCCGCCTTGTTCAGCTCCCGGCCATGGACAAGGGCGGCAGGTTCTTGAAGGGCAGCGGGCTCTGCGCGCCCACGATGCCCATGTTGTTGTTGAGGTCGCCGCGCTGCCCGTCCGCCGCGCCGTTGGTGGCGCCGGTGCTGCTGGGCGCCAGGTTGGCCCGGGACGCGCCGTTCATCGGCGGCGACCCGTTGAGGAGGGGCGGCGCGGTGCTGCCGTTGTTGGGGGCCGCGGGCTGCAACACACAAGTCGCACACGTCACCTCTGGGCCCGACCCTCACCTCGGCATATATAGTGCTACAATGGGCAGACAGCGAGAACTACCGGCCCGATCAGCCCCACGTACCCCATCCATCCGGCAAAAAGTTTAAAACTTTAACGATTCGCAAAAAAATAATAAACTTAAATAAATGCCGAGACCCCCGCCCCCTTTCCCCACCCTGAAATTGCGCTGCTACTCCATTTTAGCAATATATGTACTTGTTCCTGAGCGCTGACCGGCAGGTGCGAGGTTTGCCTCTTGAGGTGCGCCACGGTGGACGGCGAGTAGACCATCTGGGAGAACACCAGCCTCTCCTCGTAGTCGTACTCGCAGAGGATCTTGTTCTCGCAGAGGTAGAACCGGTCGCCCACGCAGAACCTGGCGACAAAAAAAGAGAGGCACGAACGAGGTGAGAACAACGGTAACGCCACGGCACAGCAGCACTATACCCCTCTATAACAACCCCCTGAGCGTCAGCACGACGGGGTAGGGCGGGGAAGCGCGGCGCTACCCCGCGACGGCCGAGCTGCGTCCGCGGCGCGGCGCGCCCTCCCTCTCTGTCGCACTTGTTGAGCCGAGCCGGCGCCGCCGAGCGCAGGACGTACAGGACGCTGAGCCGGCGCCGGGGCTGGCCGGAGCCGGACCCGCTCGGGCCCTGCGGAGCCTGCGGACCGGACCTCACTGCGCGCGCGGCGCCCGTCTTTACGGCGCACAGGGGAAATCAGACCATTCTGGTGCACTCCGATCTATTCACTTATTTATTTTATTTATTTATTCATCTCCTTTTTCCTTCTTGTTGTTTATTTCCCGATCATAATGGCCCGGCATTGTCTCGCGCACACGTCCGGCCGTTATTCCGAAAACGTCTTTGACCGTTGAAAGAAACATGCCCGGTAGCTGAACCACCCCCAACCCCCGGCCCGGAACACGGCGGCCGGCTGCACCGCTGGGCCCCCGGGACTCGGTTACCTGTGGCTGCACTGCTGGCAGGCGAAGCACTCCAGGTGGTAGACGTTGTGCCTCGCCCTCATCACCATCTCGAAGGCGGGGATCACCTTGGTGCACGCCGCGCAGTGGCCCGTGTGCCCGAAAAGCCTGCGCAGAGAGCGAGTCAGAGGCGCCGAGAGAGAATGTGTTCTTTTTGAATCCAAGGAATTCCTTGGAACCAAGTCCAAAGAAATTTTTGATCTAATTTTAAGGGAATTTCATTTGTTTCATCGTCGGTTTCTTTGACCTAACGACAAATTTTACTTGTTGCAATGTTTTTAAATTTGAAAGAAAGTCAAAAAAATGTTTGGACATGGCCAAAGGAATTGCTCTGATTCAAAGAACACCTTGTCCGGATGTATTCGGCGGTGGAGGCAAGCTCACCTGAGGTAGTCTCTCTTGCACAGGATGAGGTTCGCCTTGGTGTACAGGGTGGAGCCGACCTCCCCGAGCCGGCAGTCGCAGCAGCCGCACTTGAGGCAGTCCTCGTGCCAGAAGAGGTCCATGGCCTTGAGGAGGTACCTGAGTGTGTGTGTGTGTGCACAAGGAGATCAGCAGCGCGTCGTGAGTCTCGCAAGGGACGTAAGGAGGACGCAAGGAGACGCGACGGCGCGAGGGCACGCCCGACCACTCACCTTTCACTGATTACTTTCCCGCACCCCGCACACTTCTGCGCCTCGGGCTTGGGGTCCATCCTCATTCTCCCTGGAGACCGGAAATAAAAAGAAAACAGACAAATCCGTCACACAAGAGTCCGGTACGGGGCACATAGCAGTCTGAACACCGCGAGTGTGCAAGCCACCCCCCCCCCCTCCTCCAACTCCAGTCAGTCAATTCGCAGCGCGGCAGTGCGGCCCGCTCCAGGGTCCGGGTCCCTCCAGCCGCTGCTCCAGTCGCCTCCAGTCGCACACAGCAGTCGGCCCGGAGCGCGGCACATAAAGCGGAGGAAAGGGGCAAAGTTTTCGATCAAAATCGCCATTTAGGAAACGTGGGGGGATCGAAAGAAAAGTACTTGAGCTCATAAAATTCGGTCCGTAAAGGAAAGGAAGGGAGCTGGCTCTGGCCCCGCCACCGGGCGGCGGCGCGGGTGTACTAGTACGGGCGGGGTCTGCACTGGAGACACTTACTGCGCGAAGCGCCACCAACGTGGGGCCGCGTGGACGTGTTGGGCGTGGACCCCGCGCACATCCCGGTGTGAGCACCCCCACCTCCACCCCCAACACACACACAAACTGCTGTCGCAAAGCTACGAGCGAGTCCTTTGCATGCCAAAGGGAAATTACCGTCGGTTCGATTTTGTTTAAATTTTGTGTAATTTATTTCATTTAATTGCAGGTATCTCATACTTACGGCAGGTCTGGGGACGCGGCAGGGCTGCGGGCGTCGCTCGCGCAGCTCAGACATGCCCACCTGCAACACACATTAGAGGGCTGCTGTTAGGAAAGAAAGGCTGTTGTTCTCTACCCCCCCCCCCTCTCCCCTCTCCCTCTCCCTGAGGAGAAGGTGGAGGAGGAGGGGTAGAGGGGTGTGGGCAGACTAGGAGAGAAGAGAGGGGGGTTGGGGGAGGTAGGGGGGGGGGCTGAGCCGGCAGCCGAGCCGCTTGGCGGCAGGGCGTAGCGGGTCTGTGTGGGGAAGGGGGGAGGGTCTGGGGGTCAGATGGACATTGTGTGGATTTCAATTACAGCATCTAGATTGGTTCTTTGAGACGGTCGGAGTTAGTGGGGGGAGAGGGGAGAAGAGGGGGGGACTCTTGGGAGGAGAGAGAGCGAGAGCGGGAAGGGGTGGGGTGGGGGGAGGTGGGATGGGAAAGAGAGTGAAAGGAAGGGGCGGGGGAGGAAATAGAATGGCGGTGGTCGGCTGCGGCCCGCCACGCTTGTCCACGCCCCGGCCGGGTCCAGGCGGTCCACTCCAGGCCGCAGGGACACTCTTCATACGCGTTTCAGACAAACGGCTCGCGTGTGCCGGGGATGCGGGGAGGGACGACGAACACACGACGAGCAAAGACCCCTGAACAGCGGCGACGTTGAACAACCTCCAGCGAGCGAGCACCGAGCGAGCAGCGGGTGGCGGCAGTGGCGGCGGCGGGGCCTCGATGGGCTTTAAGCCTTTCACTAATTGAAGCCTTGATTAGCGCTGCACAGCCACGTGACCCTTTCGCACACAATAATGGCCGTCAAGGAAAACATAACAAGAGAGGGAGAGAGGTGGAGGAGGAGAGGAGAGAGAGGGAGAGAGCGGAGAGAGAAAGGGAGAGAGGGGGAAGGGGCAGAGGGTTAACAGCAGGCGATGTGTGTGTGGGAGAGGGGTGGAGAGGGATCATCAGAGAGGGAGAGGAAGGAGACAGGGAAAGAGAGAGAGAGGACGAGAGCGAATGAGAGAGGTAGAGAATGGAGGAGGAGGAGGAGGTCGGCTGGGGCGTGAGGCGGGCGCGCGGCTCTCAGCATCTAGCACAATCGAAGTGCTAATTGCGCTAGTCCCTCGTTATCTGCGCCGGGCCAGCACATGCGTCTCGGGAAGGCGGAGCAGGAGAAGGGGGAAGGGGGGCGGAGCGGTCTGTTCAATTAAAGCTTTAGCCGTATCGGTCAAAGGTTTATTACCGCCCCATACGTTTGGTTATCATCGGCTCGGACACCAAACCAGCCGGCCGGCAGGGAAAATAAACAGACGAAAACAAAAACGAACACTCCCTACACAAACATAGGCGCGGTAACGCGCGATGCTGTATCGAGCGGTTCGTTGCGTTTTTATTTGCAACGAAGCACACCACGTCGTGGGCCCGGAAGATGTAATTGTCTTTTGAGCAGAATTAGAATACATTAATGGTCATAGACTCGTGCTATCTTTGGAAACACGGTACAAATAACAACAAAGTTTTTTTGTTTTTGGTATAGGCACCTAGGTTACGAGCACAACATGGCCGCACTCTGCAAATCTAACAGTATAAAAAGATGACAGTTTAGTTAGTAGACAGTTTAACTGTGTAGTTCTACAGTTTAAACTGTACAACTGCATGGGGCATGGGGCTAGTTTGACAGTCCGAATAACTGTAGTATACTTTTTTTAGTTTTGAAGTTTAAACAGTAGAACATTTTAGTTTTGCAGTTTAAACTGTCATCTTGTAATACAATCTAGTTTTGCAGAGCAGCAACGGTCCCCGCCGTCCCGGAGCCACTAAACGGCAACCTGCTGCCTCGGCGTGCGCTTCAAGGAGTGCCTCCGCCCGCCCCGCCTCCCTCCGCGAGATGACGTACGCCGCGACCCTCCATCCCCTCGCCTCCCCTCCCCACTCGCCCCTTCCCCTCCTCGCGAGCAGCAGCCGCCCTGCCCCCGCGCCTCAACATCAATATGTCCGCAATTTTACGCTTTATTGGCGCCAAAACAATTCCAAGGAGGGGTCGTGGAAGGGGGAGGTGGACGGGGGAGGGGAGGCGATCAGAACGCGCCGAAAGGGGTTGCAGAGAGGCGTGAAGACCGTCGAGGAGAGGGAGAACAGGCGAAGACAATAAAGAGGGAGAGAGAGAGGGGGGGGTGGGGTTGGAGGAAGACAGAGAGAGAGGGAGAGGGGGATGGTTTAATGCGTCCTAGCCGGTCCTGGCCCAGGCCGCCTACAGCCGCCGTCCTCGTCCGCTACAAGACGAACTCAAACGTGACTTTTGAAGACCGCAACGGCCAGAACAGCAGCAGGCAGCTGGACAAGGGCGCAAGGAGGGGGAACAGCCAGGCACGGACCCGACCCGATCGTATGATTTCTTGGTTTATATACGGACCGTTATGCGGACTAGCTAGCGAGCCCGCTGCAATCCAATTGACTCTCACTCTCTCTCTCTCTTACACTCACAGACACACCCACCCACTCACACGCTGGCCTTCCCCCCCCCCC